ACTGCTAAGGGCCTAGCCACTGGACAGCTTGGTCCCTTCCCACTCAGTCCTGCTCCCTGCCCCTCCTCTGCACTTGCAACCTTGGGCCTGGTCCCTTAGGGCCTAGCGGACAGAGCTAGCTGCCTGCCACACTTGCTCCCACGGTTGCCAAATACAGATGGGGCTGCTGGGGCCCCAGCAGGGACAGGCTGTCCCTGAACCTTCTGCTCCAAAACAATCCCAGCTCCCCAGTGCCCTCAGTGAAGAGCTGCTCTGCCCGGCAGCCCACCAGTGTGTCCCCACTCTGGGCCTCAGTTTACTTCTCTTTCCCAGAGAGCAGCGTCCCTCCTTCCTGACCAGGCCCCCAGCAGGGGGGCAGGCAGGCTGCTTGCATTCTAAGGCTGTGGCAGCCAAGGCTGTGTCCCATAAGGGGTAACATTGGGCTAGAAGTTCCCTCCATAGAAGTCCAAAATTCCCCCATTAGCAGTTTTATCTTCTCCCCTCTGTCAGGCCTCAGTTTTCCTTTTTATAAGCTCACATATTCCCTAAGGCCTTACTTTGTGGGGGATGGGGTTTTTTTCTGTGACCTCTTTCTTCCTCTGTCACCAGAGCCCAAGGGATTCTCCTAACAAGTTGGTGCAGCTACTCCCTGGACCCCTGAAGATGTTGCAGGATCCCAGCACCTCAACACTGCACAGTTGGGGGGCATGCATTTCTTTAGGACAGGACCCCAACTTGGGGAGACTTCACATCTGAGGACCTGGGGAGGCAGGCCCTGAAGACAGCCTTGGACACCTGGCCTTGAGTACCTGGGTCTGGGGAAAGGAACAGAGCAGGGCTCTGCTTCCAGGCCTTCTCTGAGGCTCAGTTCTGTCTGTGCAGCCCTCAGTCCTGGGGCCCAGGCAGAGGACATATCCTGCAAGGCACAGGCCTGTCCTCCTGCTGCCCCAGCCCTGGCTGCCTAGGAATGTACTCCCCCTGTGCCCGCCCACTGGGACTTGGGTTTCAATTCCTGGCCAGATGCTGATCCTGGGATGTTGGCGTGGTTTGGGGGATCCGTGTGGTCAGAGGCCCAGGGCTAGATTGTGGCTCTTGTGTCCCTGTGCCTCTCAGCAGTGCAGGGGTCTGGCCCAGCCCTGCTCTGGGCTGGCCTGTCCTCTCTGAATCTTAGTTTCTCCACTGGCAAGTCTGGCCAGTAAGCATGTGGGCTTTACAAGAGCCTCTGTCCGGAGCTGTCTTGCCTGCAGGGATGTTGGCAAGGGGTGAGGGTGGGGAGACACAGGATGAGAATGAGGCAGGTGGCCAAGAGGTGAGGGCCAAGGTGGGGGAGACCTGGGAGGTGTGTAGGAAGGGGTTACTGGGGTTCTTGTCAGGAATCAGCTGGGCCCCCTTGGCCTGAATCTGTGCACTCTGATACGACGCTGGGGGTGTCTCAGTGAGGGACACCAGGCACTGGCCTGAGTGAGGTAGGGCCAGGCCGAGCCCACTCAACGTCCCAAGAGTGTCCAGACCGGAAAGAGCGAGGGTATTTTGGTGCTCTGAGTGCACACAGCTTTCTGGGAGCTGGGTATTTCTGTCCTGTGAGGGCGTTTAGCTGGCCTTGGGGAAGGCAGGAGTCTGGGTGTGGCCCCAGGGAGTCAGTGAACAGTACTGACACTGCCACCCTCTGCACTTGACATTTCTGGGGTGGGCCAGGGAGGAGGCCCAGGACACCAGGAGGGCCCAGCCAGGGGTGATGAGTGATGCCAGGAAAGCTTCCTGCGGGTCATCCCCTCCCTGTCCCCCACCCCCCACCTCCTTGGGTCTCCAGGAGTTGCAGCAGACAGGCCTCACAGCTCAGACAGGGCTGCCCACCACTGCACCACTGGGGCCTAGATCCTTACCCACTAGCCCAGCCCAAGGAGGCCCCCAGGATGGGGTCCGGCCCCCATGGTCAGCCCCTCGGCTTTCAGAGGCAGAGATGTGCTGCTCTCCTTGCCAGCCAGGGCTGAGACAGATCCTGGGGCAGTGGGTACCAGGGTGGAGGGGAGAGGAAGACACCTGGCATCCAGGCCAGCACGAGTGTCTGCACTCCAGGGGTGTTGAGTTCTGGGTCCTCCCACCAACACCTGCTCCCTTGCTCAGGAGCAGAGCCCAGGCAGCCAGGCCTCGCTGGCCACCATGCCAGAGGCGCCCGAGGTGCTGGAGGAGACAGTGACGGTAGAGGAGGATCCTGGCACCCCCACCTCCCACGTGTCCATCGTCACGTCAGAGGACGGCACCACCCGTCGCACTGAGACCAAGGTACGCTGGGCCCTGCGGTTGGCAGGTAGGCCGTGCGGAGCAGTCGCCCCCCCTGCCGCGTGGGTACCCACTGTTCGGGTGGAAGGCTGAGGCCACCCTGGCCTCTCCGGCTGCCCAGCCCACCAGCCGCCTGCTCCCCAACCAGGTCACCAAGACGGTCAAGACGGTGACCACACGGACAGTGCGCCAGGTACCTGTGGGCCCAGATGGCCTCCCCGTGCTGGATGGCGGCCCCCCGCTGGGCCCCTTCACCGATGGCCCTCTGGACCGGCACTTCCTGCTGCGTGGGGGCGGCCCTTCTGCCACGCTCTCCCGTGCCTGCATCAGCAGTGGGGGCGGCTTTCCCGATGAGCCCCGTGATGTCCCCAGCTACGGCAGCCTGTCCCGTGGGCTGGGCGTGCGGCCCCCCCGTGGAGGCCTCCATGGCCCGGGTCCCAGCGACGGCTGCTTCACGCTGCCTGGCCGCCGGGAGGCCTTCCCTGCAGGCTCTGAGCCTGTGCCGCCCGCCGGCCGCTCCCAGCCTGAGCGGTTCCAGGCAGAGCCGTATGGCTTGGAGGACGACACTCGCAGCCTGGCTGCTGAGGATGAGGGTGGCCCGGAGCTGGAGCCTGACTGCAGCACAGCCACAAGGAGAAGGCCGGACTGTGGGCGAGGCCTTCGGACCAGGTGAGGCCACCGTGTGCTGGCACCACCTCTAGGAAGCCTGCCTTCTGCTCCCTGCCACAGGGTCCTAGCTGCAGGGCTGTGTTAGTCGCACACGTTAGTCTGAATTGGCTTCAGCTCTTCTCAGGCATGTGGCAAGAGCAGGCTCTGGGACAGGGGAGATTACACTGGGCACCCTCCCCACGAGTCTGGAGCGTAAGAAGCTGATGACAGTGCCCGGTACCTGCTGCCCCTGCTCCAGCCAGATGGCCAGGAAGACACGGGCCCAGGGGCTCAGCGTGTTTTTCATCCTCTCCCACGTGCACAGTAGCAGCCAGAATGCAGGCTCCCAGCCCTTTTTTTTTTGGTGGGGTCTCTGGTTCTGTTCCCTCTGTCCTTGGCTTGTCTGTCTGCAGAGTGGGAACGTGACCACAGCCTGGGTCTGGGTTATGCTTTGTGACCACGGGTGTGA